GATCCAATGAGGTGTATTCATAGAGGCCCTTTACATGAGACCCGAAACGAAACTCATGCCGGTGTAATATGCGTTTTGGTACCCTATGCAAAAGTGTAACATTGTGAAACGCAATGTGTTTCAGATCGTGTGATTTCATCATTGTGCGATGTTTGACACGTTTTTAAGAGTTTAATATTTCACACGCATATGACACCGGCACGAGTTTCATGTCGGGTGCTGGTCTGAGCTACTGTTGTGATTACATGGCGTTGACCGAAATGAAACTCATGCCGGCATGAAAACTCATGCCGGCACGAAAATCTCATGTCGCTTTTTCGTGCAGTGATAAAATAGCCTCCATTGCACAAATGCTGCACGGTGGACGCTACGGATTGATTTTGGCACCATTTTCTTTATTTATGCTCGTTGGTTGCAATCATGTCGGGGAAAAAACACCATCCAAAAAATCCAAAAAATGGGAATCCAAAAAAATGTAAGCGGTAATTAGAATTTCTTCAATAACAGTAAAACAGAGACAACTAAAAACAAGCAGATGTGTAAGTCTTTTAAATTATAAGAAATATTACATGGTATGAAGAATTAAGAACCTATCATGCGAAAGAATGCGACAGTTTTGTGTCGGGTTTCATGTAACGGCGAGCAAATTTCACCGAGTTTTCATGCCGGCACGAACTCATGCCGGCATGAGTTCATTTCGGGTCTCATGTAAAGGGCCCCTTAGAAATAGAAGGGCGTATATTTCTATGGGTGTATAGAATACGCCTATGAGGTGTATAGAATACGCAATGAGGCGTATTCTATACACCTCACTGCCTGGATCCTAATATGGCGGCTATCTTTGTTCTGTTCAGACAAAGGTATCTTGTTGACTTGTTAAAATCAATACCTGGTGTCGGAGGTATGAATAAGCAAAGTCCAGCACATGAGAGAAAATGGCGAGTGTGGTAATTGTCCTCGTCTTAGCATTTGCTGCTGCTTCTGCCACAGATGTTAATTTCAAAAATATCTTCCACCAAACTACAAAAGAAGTTCAAAACCAGAAACTCACTGATGTAAATGGCAGTGTCCCCTCTTGGCTGTCAGGTGACTTCGTTCGACAAAACTGTGCTTCTTTTGGAGATATTGATGGTGAGGAAAGTTTTCTTTATATCTCAAATACTTTAAAGTTTACATGTTCGCTGGAAGCAAGAACCAGATACTTGGACTTACAACATGGGGAACCATATGGTAAAAGAAATTTGGTTATCAATCAAAAAGTGCCGGAAGTGTAGATCATGCACCCTGCCCTCTTTTAGCACAACCTTCACTTTAGCTAACAAGATACCAACATCATCAGCCATATTGGCAATTATGATGTCCTCAATTCTGGTCTGTTTCAATAGAAAGTAAAAGAAATATATCTCGTTTTGCTTGCGCAGTACCAACCTCGAGCAAACATCTAGTCTGATCTGCATGCCATGACATGCATTCTCGACTTTTTGTTGTGAAATGCAATCTAAAAAATTCCCTCCCACAGAGGCCGCTGGGAGCAGTGGCGTGGTGGCAGGGGGGCCAGGGGGGCCATGGCCCCCCCTGAATAGGGGCGCAAATGGAGATAAGGGGGCGCCAAAATTGTTTGCTTGTAATAATTGGCTAGGAACATCAAAAGTGATCGTACACTGGTAGAACACTCCGCTATACCTTGCTGTGAACAATCTAAAATAACGTGAGATTTCACAATCGAAGCACGTTGCGCTGCCATGACCCAATCAACATTTGTTTCATACGTTTTCGTGTTAACTATGTACGTGACTTCATGTTTAGCACGCCAACTAACGAAGATTTTGCGTATGCCAAAAATGTTTTCTATTAGTTTGTACTCGGAACGTCAAAAAGCCGGAGTGTACGCTAAAGATCTTCGGACCCAAGTACATGGAATGCACTCTGGCAATCAATATAGCAGATTCTTGTTATTAACATCGATGTGACCATCACCCTTTCTTTCTTTATCCAACGCATGAATCCTCCCCTTCCAAATTTTTTCTAAAAATCAAAAATCAATTTCTGAGCATCGTCGAACTGTCTATTCTGAGCGGTGTAGTAATTTGTTAAATTTTAGTCTGGGAGATGCATTTTTAGCCATTCTAGAGGCTTGATTTCAAAAATTTTCTTCCGCGTCGGACCCAACCATGGTGGGTCCTCCTTTGTCACTAAACTTGATCCTTAGCCCAACCCCAGATTCAATTTTGTGCTCGCCGCCTCTGTCCGATTCAATAGTGCGATTCAATGCTTGAAACTTTCAAGTTGTTGAAAAACTACTATTTAATAACTACTAAAGAATAAAAAGCTTGAACCATGTTTGTATATCATACATCATATATGCGATGACACTAGGCTGATAAAATCGAACATAAGCAGTGGCGAAATGGACAAAGGTTACCTTTAGTTAAAAAAAATGGAGCGCGAAACAATAATTTGCTCTACGTTATTTTACTCTGAAGCTGGTATTCTGGACATAATAAACGAGTAGCCTGTATGAAACATCAGTGTAATTGAATAAAATGTTTTTTGATTAGTATTTTATGTTTTGCCTACCGTATTTCCTTGAAAATAGGCCGACTTTCGAAAATAAGCCAATTCAAAAAAGCTTGATATTTTACCGAACAACGAGAAGGTCAAATGTTAGGATTACATAACTTTTCCATTCATATTCGCATTTTTAGTCAAACCTTATTTATGAAATTTTGGATTCAAATTGCAAAAAACGATATCCCTTCTAGAAACACATGCTTTATATAACCACGATATTCTGTGACGATATATAGAAAGGGCGCAAAAATCGACTTGGCCACCCCAGGGAAAACATAGCCACCCCGCCACTGGCTGGGAGTAGAAAAATATTGGTATTATTAGCCTGTTGAAATTGAGACAACAAAGAACCACAAGCAAGGTCGTAAAATTCAATAGATGTGGAGCTTAGCTTAAGCCTGATTTAAGCCCAGTTCATAGTCGATGCATTACATCAAAACTTTTACCCGTACGCCTTATTTCTCTGCGGGAGGCGCCAGCTTGTCTGGTGTCGGCTTGCCAAAGAGCTAGCGTACGCTAAATTTCGCCCCATATCAGAGGCATAGGTCTTGCGTACGGAAGTTTATTCTGTTTTCCGCAAACCCGTATGCCTTGAACTTATCGAGTTGAGAAATCTTCAACTTTTTTTGCCTTCCGTACGGAAAATTTCTTAGCAATGGCCGATTTTGAAGGAAAACTTTGTGAAGAGATACACAAATACCCCCACATGTATGATTCCTTGCTAGAGGACCGTCGGTCTGGAACCCAGAGTAAGAAATCGGGACAAATATTAAATTATTGGACAGGAGCAAGAAAAATGGCTATTTATACCGGAATCATTGACATCAAACGCGAATCGTTGACAATAACGGCACAATCCCCGCAAACGGTTCGTAAAGTATTTGTAGGTAGAATATATCAGCATGCAGGCACGTAAATAATAGGGGGGCGTGGGGGGCGTAACGCCCCCCCAAAGTTTGGAAAATCCAGTTACAGTTGGAAAACTTAACGGTTGACTTGGAATTTTTTCTTAGGACCAAACTTGTGAATTTTATATTTTAAGAAGTTTTTTATTTTAAATGTAAAAATTCTAAACATTGAAATTCACAGGCTGAAGCTGACCCATCCACTAATCGTTTTCTATTGTGAAGACCATCTCTACTGGATCCAAATTGCACAATTGCCTCGTTTGCTTTCTTTCTGACGGGAGTTGAAACAAATTACAAACAGGCAAGGTGAATTTCCGGATAAGAAATTTGAGACTTTATAGTTTGGAATAATAATTCCCGTATTGATCAGAAAATATTAGAGTGGGTTTTTTTAAGAAACTACGAGTAGTTAATTCAATAAAAGATTAACAATCTTTCAGTGCTAAAAATTCTCAACGCTTCTTATAAAAACGAGTTTATGCTAAACTCCCCCTGTTATTTGTTAACGCCCTTGACTCCTTATCATAAATTCCTATGACAAAACTGCTGTAAAGCAAGAACACATTGCAAAACTGCAGTAGAAGTATTTGATCAAAGAAGAGTGTTTCATCTTTCGAATCAGGCATATGCACAAGTTTGTTCTCAAATCATCATTTCAATTGTAAAGAATGAAAAGGCATTTGGCCCTCTGAAAATTGTTAGTAGTTTTCTTCGATCAAGAACAAAAATTAAAGGCTCAAGTTCTTGGTGCTTCTATATTGTGAAAAAATGTATTTTAGATAAAATTGATCAATTGATCTGAAAGAATACTACTAATCATTAAGTATATCTAATACTGGTTTTGCTTAAATGTTGCTTAAATCTTACTGTAAGTTTAAATGTCTGTTTCATGTTAATCAAAATTTAGAGATTTAGGCTTTTATGCTTTAGGCTAATTATTGAGTAAAGTTTTGGTAATTATAAAGAAAATAGAACTATGGTGTTCGGGCTATTTACAAATACAATTTGGTAGGTATAGTAGATTTACTGGTCAAATGAAAAATTTCTTACTTAGATTGGAATTTTCATCCTTCCACGCCCCCCCAAAATTAGCAACTTGTTTTCGTCCCTGTCAGCATGTTTGCTGTTCTTTTTATTTTTTCTCCATACAAGAAGAAGGGCAAGAGGAAAATTCCTCGACCGCATGTCTGGAAACTATGAACCGAAAAAGCTTATGGCGTAACGTTTCAAGCTTCCCGCATGGACATGCGGAAAACGTACGTGTTTACGCTTTTTGGATATGCAAGATGAAAAGGCATATGCTTCAAAGCTTACCCATGTGCAGAATTTAGCGTAAGCTAATAAGTTCAGAACTATGAACCAGGCTTACACGAGACGAATTTTTTCGTGCGAAGCGAATTTTTCGCCGCGAATGCGCGAAAAATATGCGCAGAAGTGGAGATTAGAAAATTCGCAGCGAATTCGCAGCGAAAAGTAGAAACCATTCCTACTTTTTCGCTGCGAATTTTTCCGCCATGTAAAATAAACCAATCAGAACAGCAATTGAAGACATCTGACACGAACCCAAAGGAAGGGCTAGGCCGAATGGTGCTACGCAATGTAAACATATCTAAATCAAAAGTATGCAAAACGACAGAAAACTACGCAATGGTTCAAACAACAACATGGGTGAAGAATGAGTAACCTATGACTAGGCCTAAACAATGCTGGGAAAATCCTGCACCTATAACATAAACAATGGAATGGGACGTTTCTAGCAACAGGCGTCTTTGGTGCAATAAACGATAAAAGCTCCTCATATGTAGTTGGCGACATTCGAAAGTAATTATTCCTGACAATGTAAGCATAAGTCACTTACCAAAAGATGAAACTCCCCCTTCTGCAGACGTTCTGAATAAATTTTCCGAACCAAGTACCCATTTATTTGCTTTTTTGCTCGCTTTTTTTCAATAACAACAATCTTCGAACAGACGCCATTTTCTTTGGCATTATTCGCGGCGAATTCGCAAAAGAAATTCTGCCAGTGGAAATTAAACTTCGAATTCGCAGCGAATTCGCAGGAGAAAAATTCGTGGCGAAAAATTCGCTTCGCGCGAAAAATTCGTCTCGTGTAAATCAGGCTTTAAATGTTTTGATTTACACTCTTTTTTCTTTAAAAGGGCAATTTTATACGAATACGAGCCTCAAAATTGGTCAAAAGTTAAGAACAAATTAAGAACAAGCTGAGGCTGAGCTTCTGCAAAGTGCAATCTTGAACAACGTTATTTCTCAAAATCGAGGATTTTTAGCCATGTGTGGGTGCTCTTTTGGTGAATATTTAAATCTGTCAACAAATGAAGGTTGTCTCACTCATTATGTTGGCAAATGAGCCCTGGACACTCCCTAGAGTGAAAAAGCTAGCACTCGCACTGCTTACATCCTTTTGAATTAAGAACAAATTAAGAACAATCCAGCCTCAGATTTTCGAAAAAATTAAGAACAGTCAGCCTGAACGTAAATTTACTGGTTCTTATAAACAAGATTGTAGGGAGGTGGGAAGAAAACAATACCATATCTTATAAAATATTTTGAAGGCACTGGTTTTCGCATTTTTTCATGAAATTGGTGTATCTTAAATGTGGTAACGTAATTTAGCCAACTAATTTTGGGTGAAGGATTGGTTCTACGAAGTACATATGGATGATGGCTCTGCAAAATACGCGAGCAAAATCATATTTTATACAGATATCTGCAGCCCAGTAATGGAGCCGCAAGGTATATGCCCTTTAATCCTAATACCATGGGGCTTTTGCACGAGTAAGATTCTATTACAATATAGGAAGCGATTCGCCATATAGATATGCAGCACAAAAACGTAAAACGCATCATTTGATTAGAGAAACTGAGAGAAACAGTGGCGGATTTGAGGGGGGGGGGCAACTAGGGGCAGTTGCCCCTCCCTCAACGAGTTGAAGCAAGTCTGGCGCCCTTTTTTTGGAAATTGTGCGCCCCTTTTGAAGAATGACAATCAGGTGAAAAAGTTTCTGAGACCAATAGGTTAATTTGCTTCAAGAATTACCTCAAAGTTATGTTGTTTATTTCGAAAATGGATCTGAAATTGTTGTATACAGCGTATTCTCGTCACCAATTTTTGAAAAAATTTTCAGCGCCCCCTCTACCAACTGCCCCTCCTTCAAATTTGCTCTGGATCCTCACTCATTTCACTAAATTTATATTCGCTATATCTATACCCTAATATCTATCTTATACAGGGAAGAAATATGATTATGTGTCACATTTGTTTGACTGCATATCAATGGTTGGAAGATACAAAATAGAAAATGGTGGCGTTAGCTACTCAAATAGTATCTACGATACAAGACAAAAAAGAATCTGGGAGCATTATGGAAATAATATCAGTGCCTCAAAAGTGAGTTGGAGAACAATATTTTCAGACATTGACGAGGCGGCCTACAAGAAAGAGACTGGAATCAAGTATAACGAAACACTCCCTGTTAGCCCCACTGTCAGTTTTTGGCAGTCTAGGGCAAGCGACCCAGTGCTTGCTATTACTGAGTCAATATTCAGTCCAACAGAACTCAAGATCCGGCCAGACCTCGAAGTTGTTGGTTTGTATATGGGAAAGCTGGTAAATCATGGATTCCCAGCAGGGTTCTATCAAGGTGCATTAGTGATTGATAATCCGGCACATGAGCAAACCGATCCGGACGGAACAATATGGACTACGACAGTTAGAATCCAGTCTCCAACAACAACAAAGATAGATGATTTGGAGGCTGCAATCGCAGTTTACAAGATAAGAGGTCGGAATAGGACAATGGTAACGAAACATGTCTTGGGAAAGTACAACCTTACCAAATGTTCCTCGTTGACTCAGGAGGACTTAAATATCATGCCTGGATATTCCCATTTCATACAGACGACTGAAAGGTACATACTTGTCCCACAGACATCATACCGTTTTGATTATTGTCAATCCTATAAAAACCGCGGGAAAATATTTCCAGGATTCCATGATTACGTGTGGCACCCGCGGGTTAACGCAAGCATTTTGGTTTTTGATCGTAATGATATGAGTAAGGTGCAAGAGGTCTACCTACCATATGCGAAGTTTTTCACCCATGATGTCAATGCTTACGAAGACAGCACGCATATATACCTAGATACGCTTGCTTACGATAACGCCGATGCCTATTTGAAAGTGCCTGTTATAAAAGAAGTTATTGCGAACCTAGAGTGGAATACTTCAATAATTCGTATCGCTATAGACAAGCGATCTTGGTCCTACGATGAGGCGAAGAGTGAAGCTTTAACAGCTCAAGATCCTTTTGGCAGAGCTGAGTTTCCCATGATTAATTACGAGCAGCATCATCAAAAGGACTACACGTATACATACTTTGTCGAAAATGCGCTATATCGCGAGGCGAAGATCGTTAAACTGAATGTTAAGACAAAGAGCATTATTCGCTGGATACCCCCCGTCGGATTCTACCCACAAGAGCCAATATTCATACAGCGTGATGGGGGGACTGGGGAGGATGATGGTGTCATTCTGTGCTCTGGCCCCGTTTCCATGCCTGCAGGAACGAGTTTCTTGGCAATTTTGAATGCAACCGACTTGTCACAAATCGCCCTTGTCAAAAACCCAAGTGCTGCTCCATTTGGACTTCACAATCGCTTTTACAAAGCAACACCAGCAGTGGCTACAACAAAGATAACAAGCTCTCAACAACCGGATACTACCAACAGACCGGGCACTAACAGCAAACCGGGTACTACAAAAAGACCGGCCACAACTGTGAAAGCAAGTGGACATCGCATGCATCCATTTGTAATCCACGAGGTGTTGCTTGCTTGCCTGCTTCTCATTTTCTATGGATTCTGAGCAAGCATGCACACTTAGCTGCTATCAAGTACTACGTATGCTGATATAATGCAAAATCGAAAGTAATCAGTAATCACAGTTATCGCAGTAATCAAGTTAGTAACAGTAATCACAGTAATCAGACTAATCACAGTTATCGCAGTAATCAAGTTAGTAACAGTAATCACAGTAATCAGACTAATCACAGTTATCGCAGTAATCAAGTTAGTAACAGTAATCACAGTAATCAGACTAATCACAGTTATCGCAGTAATCAAGTTAGTAACAGTAATCACAGTAATCAGACTAATCACAGTTATCGCAGTAATCAGACTAATCACAGTAATCACAGTAATCGAAACATTAAAGTTAAACACAGTAAAACAGTAGTGATTCGATTATTGGATTGCCAACCTAATGATTTTTTTCATTATTATACCTGTATCTCTCTCCAACACTATCATATGACTTTGTGTCCAAGTATCTTTTTTGCGCCTTTTTTGGTAAAGTCATAAGACCGTCACAAGATGAGTATTCAGTGCTTAAAAAGAGTAGATAGTTGCAACTGGAAAGATTATTGCGGTCAGTGTTTACGATTTCGCGAATTTTCGCATTGGGTATCCTCAATAGGGCAACAATATGTAAGCCAGCTGTGGCAGGATCAAATGGCTTCGTATACAAAAATAGCTTTTCCTTTTCTAAGCACATTGGATCTCAGTGAAATTTGTAAGAGTAAATACGACACATTCTAAAATCTGAAGATAAAATGCCAAATTTTGGTCGATAAAATGATAACGAAAAACAGTAAATTATATTTTTCAATGCCAACAGAGTCAATGCAAATATATTGCCTTCCCTTTTTTTATCCTACCTTTCATTAACCCTCCACTCCTTTCTAGATAACATAAACAAACTCCGAGTTTTGTCTTTTGAAAGACCTCTTCTTTTCATAATCTTCAGCTTCTAGCATAAAACTACCGTAGATCCTGAGAAGGAGATAGTTGATAAAGCAAAAAGAAAGCAAAGACACCCTTTCGATTCAATAGTAATTGTAATCATCAATTTACTTCAAAGGTGGCTACACAATGATAACGTCACAAAATTTAAAAACGAGGCTATTTCAAAATGGACAGAAAAACAAAGTACATGTAATATTCATTTCTAGCTTTCGGCAGTAGTATTTATTAACAATATTAAATAATATAGCTATCTCCTTCAAAATTAATAACCAATTACGCAAAAAGACAGCTGCAATTTTTTATTACTCAGTTTTTTAGTTAATTAAAGTCAAACATTGCCAGAAAATAAACACAAAAGTAACTAGACTTAAACTATGAGTAGTAAGAACAGCATGGTTTCTTCCATCTTTCTTGTCGCCCCCCGGTTTCGTAGTTCCATTCGTAATGTTACGACTTTCATCTGGTCCAATTGTGCCTGGAAAAATAGACAAAATTTAGGTTCGTATATGTTGTAACCAATCTGCCGAATTTCGAGACAATGGCTGGTAAATTTTTTCAATACCTACTATTGATAAACTTTAGCCATTCGTAGTTAGAGTCGTAGTTAGGGGGAGGGGCGTGGCTCAGCTGTTTGGATGAACGAATTTCTTACCTGACAATGTGAATAAACCCTTAATTATGCTATAGATTATTCAGCCTATCAGCCTTTTGAGTCAACTAATAGTTTGGATGAATTCATATACACAACATAGAATCTTTAACACAAATGCAGGTATATTTATTGTTACCATGGGTGTGGCCTTGGGTTTGGCTTTAAATGTTGCCTACAGCACAGTCCTCCTCTTGAAATTTTTGAACAGCATTTATTATGTCTGATGAGCGTGCACGTGCAGAATAATGACGTTTTCTGTCATACCTTGCCGTTTTCCATCGGTTACGGCCCTGGCTAAGGATGACGCAACATACTGCGGAATACTGGGTCCTAATTTGAAAATACTTTGTTTCTGCATGATCAATTTACAAAACATTGAAAATAGTAAGAAATCACAATGGGGTGGCTTTTGTAATTAATAAGGAGATGTACGAAGAGGCGATGTTTTCTCCCCATCGAATATGTTAGTGGGGTTTGTGAGAGCAAGATAAAATAAAGAACTAAGATAGCCTAACTGGAACCTCTCGGTATACCTTCCTTTTTCGCATCCCGAATTTCGGTGGAACAGGCTCTGTTGTCCGAAACAAGACCACCTTTGACAAGAGCAAGCCTTGATAAGGCGAATGAGCCGTTGCTCTTACATTTCTATCAAGTTTTAGTACGGTTTCTAGCCACTTTTTCTTTGCTAACTTTCGTGTTTTGCATGCCCTTTACCAAGGCAAAGTGACGATTTGCTCCATTCATGATCTAATTTTGATCTCGAGTTCAACAGTTCTCAGATATGTGTGTCGATAGAACCCATTGTTCTTAGTTCTTTATTCTATCTTAGTGTGAGGGATCGATACTTACCATTTTTGAAGAAGTATCCTTTGAAACCAACAACAAATCCTCTGTGTGCTGGTCCTGAGCCTCGTTGTCTTACAAACTCCACGAAAATGTGTTTATACCTAGTCCTGAAGAACCTCATTTGAGTCATGCTGCACACCCGGCCACTGACCGGCTTCGCTTTGCTTCTATCATCTTCATTCGCACCTTTTGTGAAAAGACAGAGAAATTTAAATCAGGATATGAAATTGCAGGTTGCTTCATCAATTTTCCATAAAAATAGCAAACCTTCGAGATAGAGTAAAATTATCAAGGCTATTTTCCTGGGTAGCCGAAGAGCTAACATGTTTCCTTTTAGATTGATAGGCCCTTCCTTTTTTCACAGTTTAATCTATACGAATCAACAAAAAATTCCCAACATCACAAAATCAAACATGATTTTTGCCTGCCTTTTAAGGCTTTTTAATTTTTCACAGTCATTATTGATAATATTTTCATAACCAATCTATAGCTTGGAAACGAGGTTTAGGGATTTAAAGAGAATTATATGTTTACATGAAGTACAACCACATGCTGTGTTGTCAGTGTCAAAATTTTGGCGCGGAATTTATCAAAATGTCGATAGAAACGCAACTTATGATAAAAAGATAAAGGGTTTCCTAAAAATGCGAGGCAAAAGCTTAAATGCAGCTAGGACAGACTTTGAGAGCTCTGCAGTACCCATGCGTCGTGGGAATACACAACTAAATAGGGGCAAAACAACAATACAATGATGGCCTCTTTCATAAAATTTAAAACATGCATCCTAACAAGGTAAGCCCTAAAATTCATTAAATTTTTCATAAAAATTACAAACCTTTAGCATTACCAACAGTTTTCATAGGAATTAGATAGGGAAAGACACTTTGGCCTAGATTCTACTTAGCAAAATTTTATACATCTTACCAGAGTTTGTCCTTATAGAGGGCAAAGCTAACAGATTGGTTGATCCTGTGTGAATGTTTTTTAATGATTTCAAGATTAGCTTTTGAAAATTAAAAAAAGTTTACCTTTGATCATAACATAGTCATCTTGTTCATCACATACATCAGGTGACCTGTTGTCAACATCCAATTCCCAGAAAATGAAGACAAATTCCTTCTGTACTAAGTCATTTTTCACATAATAATGGCAAGTCTCCTGAGATGCCATATACCCTTTTGGCCAACCAGTGGAATGGATATACCCAGTATGTGCCAATGGGTTAATGCTATATATTATGAGAATAAATTAATATTTATAATTACATAATTGACCTTAAACATTGAAATCAGGGGTTATAATATTCACTACAGCCAAGTTTTGGAAGTAAGGGCAATGTCATAACGTGACGTCTCCTTCAATAAAATGGCTCCTAATGATCTGATATTGTGTGTCATATTGCTGATGTCATCAATAACCATTTAATAACTAGTTGACAATATCATAACATATTAAAAATTTTTTTTGAAATTGATCATTGCTTTTGACAGAAATGTTTTCTTAAATGGAAAGTTGTCTAGACCAAGGGGTGGTATGGGGTGGGGGTGGGTAGGTAATTACCTCCCCACTTTTGTCGAAACATGGTCTACATATTTCGTCTAAAAACGGATTAAAAAGCACTAGGTAGGGGTAGATCATATTTCCTAAGGAAATTTGACCTGATACAAAGCAATGAAACGAGGCCAATAGGGCATGGTCTCACAGGTAACACCCATTACCCTCCCACTCTGCAGCAGCTGGCGCTGCCACTGGAGACTGACAAATCAAAGAACACAGAAGAAGACAACTCCTGCCTACTGGCCTTTGTAAGTTTAATTTTGGCTAAAACACTTTCAATATACTAAGAACAAAATAATGCAGTGGATTTTAAAAGTAATTTTTGGAAAATACTAGGGATATCTCTCAAAGCCCATTTTATGTCCTCTAGACTTAAAACTTCAAACTTACATGCAACGTTTATCTTGACTTCCACCAAGTGATTCTGCATATGGTTTTACCTGCATATAAAAAACGATCTTTCCATATATCCAGTTTGTTTTAGAGAAGATTCTTATTGTTGCGCTGCCATCATAAGATACCAATTCATAAGGCACACCCTCTGTATTGTTGGTGCAAAATTTCCCTACATAAGTCTTTGATCTAAAAACAACAACAGTATTTGTATAAGGGAACAAATTGGTTCTGGCCAGGATTCCGTTTCACACGTGGTCGAGAAGCTACAAATAAATAACAAAATAAAGGCAGTCCCTCAAAGGCTAAAAATAAATCATATTTGCAGTCTGTCTTTATGGATGTGGCATAAGCCACAAAAAGGAAATGCAAACAAAAGTGATAAATAAGTATGAAAATTTGAAGATGGCACAAAACAGTGGAAAAATTACAAACTGGAGATTGGCAGATGTTGATTGGTAAAAAAACAGAAAACCAATCAAATTCATCCTCCTTCCTTTCGCGGTGTTTTCAATCGACACATGGATATATATTTTCTGCTTACTTTTAATTAGAGTGGCAGAAAGAAAATGGCTTCAGATTGCAATGGTTCTGTTTTTTGGCCATCTTCAATTTCTGCTGTACCAAAAACTTATTCAATTATAGAAATGATAGAAAAATTATGACATCAGTAAGAAGTGGCGTATACAAGGGGGTGGTATTAAATGGGACATGTTGGTCAGAACCTTCCCTTAGTTTAAAGTGTTGTCCTCAAGCCTTGTCCAAAAACAGAAAGAAATGGTCAGAAAAGCTCTATTAAGTCCCTCTCTCTTTAAAGCCCCCTCTTTATTAAGCCCCCCTTATCAAGCAAAAATTTAAAATAAGCCCACTTCTCTATCAAGCCACCTCTCTATTAAGCTCCCTCTTTAGCCCCCAATGTCAAACAAAGAAAACTTGGGTCTCTTGAAAACATTGAGTCTCTTGATGGGTGTGATCATGATAAGATTGTGTGCGTAAAATATGTCCCACTTGTGCATCTTAGAAGTCAGTCAGAAGAAATTTTTTTTGGAGGTTGTCCCAGGGGTTTTCAATTGATTCTGGTGACTCTGAGGAAGATGGGAACATATAAATGATTTATTTTAAGAAATTTGCGACGCTGCTAGCAAAGTTTTGTGAAAAGATTTGTATGACATTTTCTTAACAAAAAATGCCTCAGGGTATTTTTGTAACTTTTTTACATGGAATTATTAATAAGCCCCCTCTATGATAAGCCCCCCTCAAGGACTTATTCGATCGATAACAAGACAAGGTCACTGGGGCTGTAGGGACAATTCCCCCAACATTGGAAAAGGTCCTGGGACCAAAAAAGGTTAACAACATGGCAACCAGCGACTACAGAAGTGAAGGGGGCCGAGGGGCTTAAACTTCCAATAATTCCCCAAATTTACCATTCCAAAAGCATGCAATAAATTGCCTTGTACTTTATTTCAGCAATTTTAGCCTTCCTACAAACATTTCGGTCTCTTAACCCGCAAGTCTTTCAATTCCTAACTTCAACTCCAAACCAAGAAAACATCTGAACGAGGAGGGCCGATAATTATCAACGAAAAATTTCTTACTCGGTGAGGAAAAGTTCAATGTATTCGTCCTCGCAGGTGGGCATTTTGCCTTCAACATGAACTTCCCACCAGTCTAGTTTCAGGTAATATTTGCTTGCATATGTCGTGTTTGGCTTTATGTGATATGTACAATCTGCACTTTTTTCCTCCAAAAGGTTTACCCAGCGTAGTGAAGGGGTGGCGTAAAAAGTCGTGTTCTTGCATCGTGCTGCTTCGTTAAAGCCAATGAGTGCAATTACTGTGAGAATGTGTAGAACTTCCATTTCCCTGCGTGCAGCCGTTGATAGTTAGGCCAGGAAGGCGTTGCCTGTTTAATCTAATTGCGTTGTTGATTTTAGAAACAATAGCCTATGTTTACATTTGCCGGAGCGTTGACAGCTTGTTTTGTATAGTTGATAATACATGGAGATAGCTCAAAACTCAAACTCAAAATCTTTATCAGCAAAAACAAGCATTAATTACAGTATACCAAACACTAAAAGATGAAATACAAAAAATTTGCAATTTCGAAAATTTAGATAAGTAAGTACACAGATAAATTAGTTTTGTTATCATATCGTTTTGTTACCATGTGCATTTATCGAAGAATTAGGAATTTATCCCAACATAAATGCTGCAAACTGGCTTGGCATCTGTTCACAAATCGATGGCCAAGCAGAATCTAAAAATTCGAAGTGACAAGTTTTGAAAGAAGATATCGCTACTTCCGTGTTTGTTTGTAGAGGCAGTGGCGTGGTCGGCAGGGGGGCCAGGGGGCCATGGCCCCCCTGAATAGGGGTGCAAATGGAGGTAAGGGGGCGCCAAAATTGTTTGCTTGTAATATTTGGCTAGGAACATCAAAAATGATCGTGCACGGGTAGAACACTTCCCTGTAACTTGCTGTGAATAATCTAATAAGACATGTGATTCTACAATCGAAGCATGTTGCGCTGCCATGACCCAATCAACATTTGTTTCATATGTTTTCGTGTTAACTATGTACGTGGCTTCATGTTTAGCACGCCAACTAACGAAGATTTTACGTATGCCAAAAATTGTTTCTATTAATTTGTACTCGGAAAGCCAAAAAGCCTGAGTGTACGCCAAAGATCTTCGGGCCAAAGTACATGGAATGCACCCTGGCAATCAATACAGCAGCTTCTTGTTTTTAACATCGATGTGAACCAAAGGTCACCCTTTTTTCCCCAGCGCATGAATCCTCCCCTCCCAAATTTTTTAAAAAAGTCAAAAATCAATGTTTTGCTGAGCATCATAGTAATTTGTTAAATTTTAGTCTGGGAGATGCATTTTTAGCCATTCTAGAAGGCTTGATTTCAAAAATTTTCTTGCGCGTCAGACCAAACCATGGTGGGTTCTCCTTTATCACTAAACTTGATCTTTTGCCCAACCCCAGATTCAACTTTGTGTTGCCGCCTCTGTCCGATTCAATAGTGCGATTCAATGCTTGAAACTGTCAAGTTTTTTTAAAGAACTACTATTTAATAACTACTAAGAATAACAATTTTGAACCATGTTTGCATATCATACATTATATATGCGATGACACTAGGCTGATAAAATCGCCCATAAGCAGTGGCGAAGTGGACTAAGGTTGCCTTTAGTTAAAAAACTAAGGAGCCCGAAACAAAAATTTGCTCTACGTTATTTTACTCTGAAGCTGGTTTTCTGGATATAATAAACGAGTAGCCTGTATGAAACATCAGTGACGTCTGCATTTCTAAGTGTGGGAATCACGAGATACAGTCACGTTGAGAAGAAGGACAACCTCAGTGTCCTAAAAAAGTACATTCGAATGATAAGTAAAAACAGGTATAACTACAATTCTTGATGGCTCTCAAGTTTCACCCTGAAGTAAAGGCTACCAAATCAAAGACACTTGGTATCATTCAATATGACTGTATGAATTGGAAGTACTACAGTTATAAATTTGGGGTCGTCCGTACTAAATGGCACCTTTGCCTTCGGGTTGAGGGAGACCCCCATCTAATTTCATGTTGTTTGTTTTTTTTAAAGTTATATGGATTCAGTGGATTCAAATACTCTTTTGTGGAATATCGCTTGTTCAAGAAAACCAGCATAATAACATTGAGTAAATAACCTTAAAGAATACTTTGTCGCATGAACGTACACCCAGGAGAGGGAAGCAATACTTCTTATTGATTCAGCGCGCCCTTATCATTTAGGGGGGAAGTTTTCCAATGTGATAGCGATTTCATTTGTTCAAAATGTCTACAATTTGCCACTGATGGTATGCCAACCCAATATTGCATGAGATGAGACGCTATGTACAAATATCGGTTAATTACAGCTCGATATATACTCGCTAATAACTTTTCAAGTAAGCATTAATGCATTGGTAACAGAGCGAAGAGTCTCAGTAAAAAGGGTTAAAGAGGGGAAGCTGCTGCGCCATAAAGCGGTACATGGAAAACTATTTCATTCGTTTATTTCACTTTTCAAATTTGACGTTCCTGTCTCTCTTTGTCCTCTAAGATACTTTCATAAAACTGAATCGATAAAAACTAAAGCAATTTCCATTGTATATGAATCTTATAGTTAATACATTTCACACAACCCTGCCAAGAAAACAGTTCCTTTTCACATACTTTTTTACGATATAGCCAATTACTCCAATGACTGTTGCAGCTACTGGTATGCCAATACCAAGAATCAACTCAGTTTTTGTATCTTTATCCCTTTCTTTTGAAGCTAAAAAAAAGGTTTAAGCTGACTGGAAGATTTTCCCTTGCAGGCACGATGGAAACAGGGGAACCAGGGATACCAATAAAATATATGAAATCAATTCTGTTCCTCGATGAGGAGAAAAATAGTTGAAAGAGCTAAGGTATCGATCTTATGTTATCATAATTTTTGAATAAGCTTTTGATACGACACCGGGTCTCCTTACGGGTAATATCGCCTGACAATTGCATCATTGCGCTGTGATTCCATCAGCGTCTGTAAATATGTCTAGCTTTATAAGGGGTGGCCTTATAAGTAAGGTTTAGTCTTGTCGAAAACCGTTGCAAAATACAATTGGTTTCTTTTTGCTATGCATACATTGCTTATCTGTGATTCAGGCATCACGGAGCGTTGAGAAAAGTGGGGGGTCTAAAAAGTGGGGGGTGGCTAAAGCCGTATAAAAAGAGGCTTTTCTGGTAGTTTGATACTCAATGTTTGGCTTTTTTTGTAAAAAGTGGGGGGGGGGATACTTAATGTTTGGCATTTTTGTAAAAAGTGGGGGGGGGGATACTTAATGTTTGGCTTTTTTTGTAAAAAGTGGGGGGGGATACTTAATGTTTGGCATTTTTGTAAAAAACTAAAGCCACTGACTGCAAATGCAGGGCTTTAGTGTAAACACTAACCTTTATCGCTTTTGGTCTCACAATGCTTCCCAGTATACCCTGATGAGCATGAGCAAATGTATTTATTTACTTTGTCCTCGCAAGTACCTCCATTTTGGCATGGGTCACTCTGGCACTCGTTTATTCCTAAAACGAAGTTTTGTCACTCGGTAAATCTACGAAAGAGGATTTAATAAATCCATTTCCAACATTCGGAAACATTTAGTGAGAGATGCAATGCCCTTGGATTGAAATTCAATGCAATTGTCTCAATTCAACTTGAGGGGGAGGGGGAGGGTGACTAACGAAAGCTGTATTTAGCAAAATCGTTATTCACTTTAGTAAAGGTAGTTCATGCAACCTAGTTTTTAGATGTGGGTTGCATTCTACATGCTTATTGCCTTAATGTGAACAAAGCGTTGTCTATTTAGATATTTCCGTTGGTTAAAATGATCAAGTTGACATGATTATCTTGAAGGTCTTATTCATCTGATATCTCAATGCAACTTGAAGGACTGTTAGGGAGACAAGGAGGGAGGCAAGGGAAGGCGGCAGGGTGGGAGGCAAGAGAAGGTGACAGGGAGGGAGGCAAGAAGAGGAAGCAGGGAGGAAAGCAAGAGGAGGAGGCAGGGAGGAAGGCAAGAGGAGGAGGCAGGGAGGAAGGCAAGAGGAGGAGGCAGGGAGGAAAGCAAGAGGAGGAGGCAGGGAGGAAAGCAAGAGGAGGAGGCAGAGAGGAAGGCAAGAGGCGGAAGCAGGAAGGAAGGCAAGAGGAGGAGGCAGGGAAAGAGGCAAGGGAAGGTGGAAGCGAGAGAGGCGAGAAAGAGGATTAGGCAGAGTGGGGGTAGATGGATAGGGAGAGAGGCAAAGGGAGAAGGATTGAGGAAAGAGCAAAGCATATTTTGCTTACAAATAACTGTTTGTTGACTGCAGCCCATTAGCCTAACCCGCTTCAAACAAAGCTTAAGCGAACATTGTTCGGTTAAGATAACTGGGTATCTATGATAAAAGCAAGCAGAAATGACTCATATACTGTTATATACTATTATATACTGTTTACACACAAAATACTGTTTGGGTATCTCCGCAAAAGTCTGTAGAGCATGTGCATATCAACACTTGAAAAACACAAGCATGAAAGCAGGTTCAGCTAGTGCACATATCTCGAACTTCTTCCTGTGGGACGGCCATGCAAAGTCCTACTCTGATTTTAGCATATTATTCATAAATATGAATATGAAAAAGATTTTACCTATATTGAGTGGAGTAGATTCTTTTATAAAGAAAGCAACATAATCAAGCTTTGCTGGAAAACTGAAGAATTTCGCAAGAGTTGCACTCTTGATAAAGTCCTTACCAAATTGGCAGAGAGTTCCGGTGAATCCTGGTGGGCAGCTGCAAGTCCGTGAATTACCAAAAGCAACGCATGTTCCGCCATTAATGCAAGGATTTTGAAAACATATGTCGGTGCCTGTGGAAAATAAAACAATATCAACCTGATAAATCATTATGCAGATCAGGGACGGATTTACCAGGGGTGTAGAGGGTGCGGCAACCCCCAAATATTTTAGTGTCCTTTTGACAATTTGGCTTTTTTTTGGTAAAAGTTGCTTATTTTCTCTTTCTTAAAGTTAAAAACAGAATTTTAAAAACGAGCGTTTTTATCATTTTCCAGTGACGTGAAGGGCGTGGCACCAAAATCAGATTATTCTCTAATACCTCTCCCCCTGTCAATCCTTGCCGCTTAAATCTGTATCTGATAACATCCTGCTTTAACGTCCCAAATTATTTTGACTAAGTGAAATAAATGCCCTGCAGAGTCCAGAAAAGTTGTTAACCTTCCTCGAACAAAAAACATCCAAGAAGGCAAACCTTTCTCACAAAACAATAGAAAGTGGGAGTGGCTTGGAAGTGTCATAGGAGCTTCTACTGTTTTTCGTGGACCTTCCTTCTGTCAGTGGCCGTACGTGACACTCCGGTGAGTGACTCTGATGCCTTTTTAACATATCTGCTTTATTCGCCCTTTACGACCCTCTGTTGGCTTGTTCAGGGATTTGAGAAGGCATTTGTTAGAATATTTTAAAAATTCTTTAAATTAAAAAGGGGTAGAACAACAGGCGATGTCTATACATGTACTCGTAAAACCTTTTTCAAGAGGATCCATACAAGCATATCTTGGAGAACGGATCAGAACGAGTACTGATTCACTAGGTTTAATGGTTATACAGTTTAATCAAGACTAGGGACGGGTTTTAGAGACAAATATTATGGGGGGCAATGTTAGATTTCCATTTTTAAGATACAAAATAATAGAGATAAAGAAGAAGAAGAAGATAAGGAAGATAGAGATCTTGACGTCGTTTAACTAATATCGACTACCAAAAAAATCTTTTTACCCAATCAAACTGAAATTTATATAGTGATATAAAACTATTGGGGAAGGTCGCAGATCAATCCGTCCTTTATCACTGGGTTGTCCAGCCGTTTTTTGAAAGAGGACAACTTTCAAAATTAGGTAATAACTGGAGGGCCACTCTTATATTTATACATATAGCTGCAAAATTTCTTTGGAGGAGAAAAGTAGAGATTCTTGCCCATCACAAAAAGGCGTGTATCGCTCTTTCAGGGTGTGGCCAAAAGATAAATACCCTTTAAATATGCTGCATACTTAAGTGCCATACTTTGGAAGTTCAACTACTACAGAATTGTTAATATGTTATGATTGTTGCAAACAGATTACCGGGAGATTACAGGAAAATTGCTTCTTTTGCCCAGCATGGACAAAGTGTTGGGGGTAACGCACCCCCTATACCCTCTTTCGTCTTTAGTGACGCCCCTGTTCACACGGGAACAATCGCGTATCGTTCAATAACGTTCCGTTAAAAAAAGTGGAACGCTCAGGCCTTAAAACTAAATGTGAACGGGGCCTTAGTCTTATTCTGCGATGGGTTTTCACATTTTTTTAGTTGTATGTGCCCCCAAAATAGATAAGCAAACATGCATGCTGACCTTCTTGGCACAATCTGAACTGTAAAAATTTGATTTGCTTAGAGATGTTTGACTAGAAACTTTCCTTTCAGGAAAGCTAATTTTTGAAAATGTAACTGGGCTTTAAGCTTCATCAGGCCCGTAGCCAAGAAGGTGGCATGGGTTTGCAATGCCACCCTGGATCAAGAGAATACTAGCAGTTTGCAACCCGATAATTTTGTCTCTAAATTTTTCAATGGCGTTTTTCGTCGTTGTCATTGGATTGCCACGACAATTTGAGTCAAGCTAATACTGACAGAAGAAAAATTGTTTATTGGGGTCCCTTACTATCCATTTAGGACTTAAGATGGTGTCTTGCGATCAAAAAGATTTCGCTGCTGAGCAAAAACCTGAAAAGGAAGATTGCTGAAATGCCTGCTTGCAACAGGTTTGGGGAGTTTGCCACCCCTACCCCACAGGACTGGCTACGGAAACCTATGCTGAACTACGAAAAGTAGAGGGTTGAGTTCACTGCGGTGAATTGCAACTGGCCAAATTGCGCGCGCGTTATTGCACAAGCTTTGATTGGATCTCGTTTGACCTCAGCCCGTACCGCGTCAGACAACATGGCGGGCCACATTTTGCACAAGCCGGCTTTATCAGGATAACTTGAATCTTCAACGGAATATTATTGGAAATGGTTTTAGTGACAAATCCTTCAATTATAGGGGGTTTAAGAGTGTTAAAGAAGATTGAATCAAGGGGAATCCAAATACAGTTCGAGTTAGTGAAAGTTTGACTTATCGGGGCATTCGATGAGTCGCTAGTCTGGGTACTTTGTGTCTAGATAACATACTTACTGTAGGTAATGTATCCAGTAATGAAGCCACGCTCTGTGTGTGATGGATAGGATCCGACTGGTCTATTGAAGACTATGTATGGGTATCGATTGGTAGCTGTTGTAAATCCAGGGTTGTATGTGCCACATAGCTTTCCTGTTACCGTCTGAGTCAGTTTTCGTATAACAGACATGGCTGAATAGTAGTTTGAAGATTCTAAGAATGGCACATTTTATTGAAATCATTGAAGAATCGCCAGCAGAATGTAAATATGTAGCAAATATGAAACACCGAAATACATCGAGAATAAACAACAATAAAAACACGTAAATCAGTAAAGGCTAAAATTTCGCCCCGGAATGTAAATACCTAGCATATGCAAGATAAATGGCATTAAGCAAGGGCAACACAACTCGGAGTACAGTTTTACTTGAGTCTTGAAAATAATAACGAAGTTTGAGGGGCTTATTAGCTTTCAGCTGGAGTGAAGTGCTTGGGGGTAACGCACCCCCCATACCCTCTTTCGTCTTTAGTGACGCCCCTGTTCACACGGGAACAATCGCGTATCGTTCAATAACATTCCGTTAAAAAAAGTGGAACGCTCAGGGGTTACAATCACAAGGGAAAACTTGAAATCGTTCCGTTTAGTGATACGGTACGGTACGGTACGCAGTTTGAGCGGTTTGGTACGGATTTGTTTCGTTCCCGTGTGAACAGGTGAACTGACTTGGCTAAACGCTTGCATTGCCCTACCTTGGGTAGCAAGTGAATCTGGTACCCAGTCTTCACTTGCTACCGGCAACGATCCGCAATCGTCTTAATGTGAACGGGGCCTTAGTCTTATTCTGCGATGGGTTTTCACATTTTTTTAGTTGTATGTGCCCCCAAAATAGATAAGCAAACATGCATGCTGACCTTCTTGGCACAATCTGAACTGTAAAAATTTGATTTGCTTAGAGATGTTTGACTAGAAACTTTCCTTTCAGGAAAGCTAATTTTTGAAAATGTAACTGGGCTTTAAGCTTCATCAGGCCCGTAGCCAAGAAGGTGGCATGGGTTTGCAATGCCACCCTGGATCAAGAGAATACTAGCAGTTTGCAACCCGATAATTTTGTCTCTAAATTTTTCAATGGCGTTTTTCGTCGTTGTCATTGGATTGCCACGACAATTTGAGTCAAGCTAATACTGACAGAAGAAAAATTGTTTATTGGGGTCCCTTACTATCCATTTAGGACTTAAGATGGTGTCTTGCGATCAAAAAGATTTCGCTGCTGAGCAAAAACCTGAAAAGGAAAATTGCTGAAATGCCTGCTTGCAACAGGTTTGGGGAGTTTGCCACCCCTACCCCACAGGACTGGCTACGGAAACCTATGCTGAGCTACGAAAAGTAGAGGGTTGAGTTCACTGCGGTGAATTGCAACTGGCCAAATTGCGCGCGCGTTATTGCACAAGCTTTGATTGGATCTCGTTTGACCTCAGCCCGTACCGCGTCAGACAACATGGCGGGCCACATTTTGCACAAGCCGGCTTTATCAGGATAACTTGAATCTTCAACGGAATATTATTGGAAATGGTTTTAGTGACAAATCCTTCAATTATAGGGGGTTTAAGAGTGTTAAAGAAGGTTGAATCAAGAGGAATCCAAATACAGTTCGAGTTAGTGAAAGTTTGACTTATCGGGGCATTCGATGAGTCGCTAGTCTGGGTACTTTGTGTCTAGATAACATACTTACTGTAGGTAATGTATCCAGTAATGAAGCCACGCTCTGTGTGTGATGGATAGGATCCGACTGGTCTATTGAAGACTATGTATGGGTATCGATTGGTAGCTGTTGTAAATCCAGGGTTGTATGTGCCACATAGCTTTCCTGTTACCGTCTGAGTCAGTTTTCGTATAACAGACATGGCTGAATAGTAGTTTGAAGATTCTAAAAATGGCACATTTTATTGAAATCATTGAAGAATCGCCAGCAGAATGTAAATATGTAGCAAATATGAAACACCGAAATACGTCGAGAATAAACAACAATAAAAACACGTAAATCAGTTAAGGCTAATATTTCGCCCCGGCATGTAAATACCTAGCATATGCAAGATAAATGGCATTAAGCAAGGGCAACACAACTCGGAGTACAGTTTTACTTGAGTCTTGAAAATAATAACGAAGTTTGAGGGGCTTATTAGCTTTCAGCTGGGGTGAAGTGCTTGGGGGCTCAACCACACTGGATAATGCCAAACATTTTGTTTCACTAACTTTTTGTTTCCTTTACTTTTCTAAATATTTTGCGAGTTTCCCTTCCTTTCTAAAGAACTATGTCGTTGGGCTTACTAATACGTTCCCATAAACAACATTGTACCCATCACACAGATAGATCTTCATGAGGTGGGGAGGGCTTTGAATACAGCTTTATCCAAGTTTTAAAAGTGAAATGCTACCTCGTATTTGGACGTAATCACTACTGTCGTTGCAGGCAGATGAAGTATTGCGCAAGTTCAAATCCATAACGACAATGCGTGTGTTTCTCTTTTCCTCCACATTTAGTGAATGGTAGCATGTGAGGCCATTCTTGTAGCCCTTTGGCCAACCAGAGGGATAAAATGTCCCAGCATATTTTGAATCGACATTGCTTGAAAGAAAGAGAAATAAATAGTTTCGAATATTTTACTGGTCTGGTACCAAATATGTATTATGCCAAATGTACCAAATGCATTCATGCCATCTAAAAAATGTTTTCTATTTTTATGGTGCTGATTCTCAGGGACGCCAGAATGACCCAGGGGGCAAGGGGACAGGCTTCAAAGCTTCAGAACAAGGGAATTTGAATGCATAATTTCTTAAATGGGATTTTTGCTTCAATCTTTTATGGATATTTTGAATATTTGGTGACTGGATGGCAATAAGCAAGGTGTACCACAAGGCTGTATTTTAGGCCCCTTACCTCTTTAACAAGCTTATTAGCGATATTTCCTATTTATAAGAGTCCCAGCTATTGTAGTATGCAGATAACAACGCTACTTGAACAGAACATACCAGTGTTAAAAATATTTTTACGTAGGCATAAAGTTGCTAAATGATTTGTTCAAGAATAATTCAATGTTAATTAACAATGACAAGCGCAAATTTACGAGCATCGAGTAAAAAACTAAGAGACAGGAAACAGCAACAATACAGATTGATAATGTACCGGTGAAGGAAGTGATTAAGGTTCACTTGATATTGATATAGACAGTAACCTTCAGTAATGTAGACGTAAAAGTGATGATCACTTACATGTAAGGAGGCAGGTCAAACTTACACTATCAAGGCATAGTCGTCAAACTCGTTAAACTTACGCCCCCTTGTCAAAACAAAAACAAGTTTTTGGGGCTCATTCCCCCCCTTCAAAGTCAATAGATGTTTTATTGGGCAAATTAACCCTTTATTATGCTACTGAATTTCCATGTATGAGCAATTCTATCAGTGATAGTTTGAATATTTTCATGCAGAAGACAGATAATCTTTAAAACAAATAACAAACAAATAATATAAGTATTAAGGATGTGACCATGCGTTTGGTTTGGATGTGGCTTCTAGACGTGTTCCCTTCAGCACAACCCCCCAACTAACATTTAGGACGGCACCCTTGCTTATAATATACTTGAAAATTAAATGATTCTGAATCCGACTATTCTTATTAAAAATATTCTTATAAAAAGAGTGCATGAATGCTCCAAAAATTTGGTCTAGTTCTAGCGAAGATAGAAGTCCATTTGTTTCTCCAGCAATATTTGGAGGAATTTTAGTAAAATTAAATTAAAAATTAAAAGCAAAATTAAAAAATATTTGCTTAACTTACTAGTAGCAATTGATACTTGCATAAGTATTCAGAAAATCGGTATTATAACCCTTCAGTTGGAATGTAAACTTGAAGCCTCTCCTTGTCACACTGCTGTCTGTCTTAAACACCAATGCAGCATACCCATCCGAAGAGTACATTGTAAAGAGTTTCGTCACACCAATATTGTCGGAACAATACCTTCCAATGCTTTTTCCTCTTCTGATAAGTTATAGAAAATTCAAAAAGCTTCAGAACGGAAGATCTAAAGAAGAACTACAAATTTTGAAAAGGCCTTGAATGGTAAGCAAAAAGTGTCCAGTTTTATCCCAGTTATCCTTGTGGGTGAAAGTAATAATAGCCTCTGCCAAATCTGGTTGCCGGAGCCTCGATTTTGAATTTCAATGTTGGAAGGCAATAGAGTATAAAGTGTTTGGTTTTCAGTTATTATTTGTAACAACATATAACGAAGAATAGAACGACCAAGGCCCCTGCCTCCTCCATTTCAAGGATTCTCCAACAAAAACATTGGTTAGATGATCTAATTTTGGATTTTGGAACATTTTTAAAGCAAATGAGCATTATGAAATAGCCATGCACAGGGAAAAACTTATGAATCTATTCAAAACACTTTTTTATAAGAACAAGTGTAATTATTTTCTGGCCGACTAATCTAATTTTTTCGTAAATCTTAGTCTGGATAGTTTAGGCTGGCTGTTAGTCAAGATTTAACAGCATGTCTCAAATCATTAGCAGCTTAGGTTTCTAAGGCTATTGTCAATTTTCGAATAAACATGAATTGATTATAACAGGTCTGTTCAGTTGTTCTTGATCCCCAATAGGCTAGCCTATGCTAGTCTGGAGGGGTGGGGGATCGAGCTGGCTGACTAATGGCAACAAGCGCTGACCAAGAACTGCCAAATGCTTCAAACCCTTAGGATATAAAAAATGTACATCCCAATTTTCAAAGTATCAAAGTTTTCCTTGCACAGCTAGTACAGAGAAACAGACGATATTTTCGGGTACTATGAACCCCCGACCTGTCGCTCATAAAGTTGTACGTTTAATTTTGTTTGTTGCTGTTGTTGTTGGATTTTATTGAGAGACTGGGACTCGTAGTTTTAAAGTCCTAAAAGGGTGGTTTTTATGTAAAGCAAGGCCAGCAACGTTAAGTTTTTAGATCGATTATATCGTTAAAATTTAAGTTTAATGTGTGAAAAAGGAATTTCGCACAAAGAATTGTTGAAATCTTCGGTTGCAAAAATTTGCGTCAGTGCCTCTTGAAGTATGGATTTTGGCTTCAAAACGTAGCCCCCCCCCCACCGAGGGGCTACTCCCTTTATGGCCTAACAGGGGGGTCCAGTCAGGGTCAATGTTTAAAATGTTTAAAAATTCCCCTCAAATGGTAGTGTATTTTGACAATAACCCTCAAATGGTAGCATAAAGACAGAAATTTTGTCATTGGTAGCATCCATTTATTTGTGCTTGCCTGGTCCTTCTTTGACAAATTTCATTAACTGTTGTTGATTCGGGAGAGATAAAACCTTGTTCATTGTCTATAATAAATCGCAAGCTAAACTAAGCCGTTGTGTCATTATCGAAACTGGGCCATTTGGTAAGATTCTCAAATCGACTGGACCCCCTGTCAGGCCTTAACGGGAGTACCCCCTGGGCGTTCCCTATGATAATTTCCTTTATAGCTTGAGCCATTCCCAGAGATATACAAGGTTGTCGTTTATGTTTTCAGGTCCCCCTGCAGACAAAAAAATTTATAAAACGTACAATGTAAGAAAAACTTCAACATAGTCGTGTGAACATGAAGGCATATATCCTTCAACTTCAAACAGATCCCAGCGAATCTCCAAGTAGTGCCCACTGGTGTAAGCAGCACTAGGTCGTATATAGATTGTACATAACTCGTTATTTTCGTAGTTCAAATTCCAAATATATTTCTTTGAGGATGAAGCGTAGTATGTGGTTGATTGACAGGTGGCGTCGACCGTGCCAATCAGAGCCATGACGATAATGATAACAAGCTGCAAGTTGTAACTTCTCATTCTTGTAGCCCTGTGTCCAGTCTCTAACCGGAACCTGTCCAGCACTCTGAGTTCTAGGAAATAAATAATAAACGTTTTCAGAACAAATCTAATCTGTAGTCATGACGAAAATTATATCCGAAAGTGTCCGAACAAAACCAGGAATTTCCTCTCTGAAAAAAAACGTCTCAAGCCCCGGCAAAACGACTAAACATTTCACTAAACATTTCACACAACTTTTGTTTAGTGAAAAGTTCAGTGGAAAGTTTATTCGTTTTGCCACCCTGTTTAGTGTTGTTTAGTCATGTTGAGTGTTGTTAAGCAAAGTTTGATTCTGGTAAAAAATGTTAGTGTTGTTTAGTGTTGTTTAGCAATGTTTAATCGTTTTGCCACCAATTATACATTTGTTGTGCTAGCGCAGGCGCCGTAGCTGTAGGAATCCAAATGTTTTCCAGGGTTTTTCTCGGTCTTCCCGCCTCTACGTGACCCAAAATCTCTAGAATTCCTTCATGAGACATTTGGTTCATCTCTTTGTACGCTACTGTGTCCTTTTCAACAGTCAACTTTGTTATCGATGTGCTAAAAGTACTTTCTTTTCCCTTTCTTCTATCAAATTCTTATTTTTAACCACTTCTTGCACTTGAATTCTTTTATGCTTTCATACAACAAAACAAACAACAAGCAAATTCCTATGCAAGATCCCCTACTACCCCACAGCGTCCTACATAGGTCGCAGTTCTAAAATGTTGAGCAAAGTTTAGTGAAAAGTTTAGTCACTTTTTGCCACCCTCGCTAAACTTCGCTCAACTTCACCAAACAAATGTTGAGTGAAGTGTTTAGTGAAATAAAGTCAAGAAGCTATAAAACTAATTTTAACTTATTAGTATTATTTAACTAGTAATTTCAGACTAATAAATTTAAAGCCCGTCGCAAATGAAAATGAAGAGGAAAATGTTGAGCAAAATGTCTTGCGTGTGTTTTTGCTCAGCCAAATTCTCTATTTGTGCTGATCATTTTCATTTCCAAATTCTCAATTAATCAGTTGTGCATCTGAGGAAAAAAGCTACATGTTGGGAAATTTCGCTATTCGAGGCAAATTCTTAATACAGTGTGAATGCGTTTGCGGTGTTTTACCGTGTTATCTGCCAGAAACTATAATGCTCAGATGACATGGCAAGTCCTACATCTGAAAAAGATTTTGACACAAACAATCTTCCCTATTTTGATGTGCCCCTCGCTTCTTCAAAAGGTATATACGCCCTAGTAGAAGCCCATCTCCCTCTCGCAATGTTTCGAAAAGCAGCCCTTGACTTGATCTTGTTGTATTCTCAGAAATAGGTTCTAGTTTTCTGGATAATTTTAGGCTCGAATTTTTATGCTCTTATTTCAAAATAGTTTTTCTAAAACTTCGCCATCAAAATTGTTTCGAAAAGTGACAGTGTTTATAAACACAACTGATTAGCCAAAAATATGTTCTGTTTTGTTAACATTATAGAATTTTTCAAACACACATTGCTTTTCTTCTTGTGAACTTTTAACTGAAGCTGGACATGATGACAGATACACTGAGACTCTGGCACCAAGGGTACCCCTCCCCTCGCTATGTTAGCGTGAATCCATATTTCTGAGAAAATACTGCTTCCATATAGCTTAAATTAAGATTGTGTAAGGTTCCCAAATTTATGTTGTGAGTGCATGGTAGGCAAGGCTTCGCATTCATAATAAATAAAGCTAATGGGAAAAATACTAGTGACTGCAAGGACACTCGGTGGTGTCGCCACGGGGTGGACTAGGGTAGACGTGTCCACCCCAGCTTTCCTAGAAATCGGTTTTGTAATTTATCGAAATTCTTTGAAAAGCCTCTGGGGGGCTGATAAGATCAATTTTTGTTCTTGCAAAAAGGCCCCCGTTACGAAAAAGGCTGCTTGAGAAAGTTGCTTTCCTAAAGCTGCGAAATAGGTCAAAAATGCATTTCCAACGTTTTCCGTCTGAACCTCTGAAGTATGGGGCAGAGAAAATTTGTCTTTGTCCACCCTAGTTTTTCGAGGTGGCGACGCCACTGAGGACACTAGTGGATACAAGCAGGTATGTGATATTGCATATATGATAGAAAAACTCAGATTGTTATATTAATATAACTCTGACATACAATATAGAAACACGAATTGTGATATGAAAAACATATATACACTGTGATCTAATTGATCTAACATGACAGTACGGGACACTTTTCTGACTATTTTTTCTAGGCCAGTTTTCGTGTGCTTGGCCAGGTCAGATCTCGTGGGCTTTGTCAGTTTTTGGGCTTGGTCAGTTTTCGTGGCTTTTGGCCAGTAAACTTCACTGTTTAATGTTTTAGTGAAAATTTTTAGAGGAAAACGAAATGTTCCTAGATGCATCGCCATGAAAACACTCTTGTTTCAAAGGCTGTGTTCAGTTGTCATGACAGCTGCAAATTTCTGATCAAAATGCAATTATCAACAAACCTTGCTGAAAGGAGCGGGGCGACGGTCCTTCCCGCCCCCCTTTTGGCGATCCACCTCTAGAATAAGCACGTAAAATAAAACAGCTTATCGACACTAGAATTTTTCAAAAGAGATTGACACTAAAGAGTAGAGACTCACCTTTTTTCTCTTTTCTTGATCCCGTTTGTTGCCTACTCGTTGATAGGTCTTATACTGATTACAATACTGCAAAGCGTTATGCAGAGGGTTTGCTGTAACGTGACTCTTTGCACACCACAAATCTAGATTTTTAAGAATTCGAGTTCACGAAGTGATAGTGTCTATAGAAATAGATGTCATGCTCCGGTGGTTCTTTCCTGACAGTCAATTGTTTCCGCGATCCACTTTTCGTAGAATCTTCTTATCTGTTGCTTTGCATTGATGCCATTTAAGGCACATATATTGTTTATTCTTTTTCTCGGTTTGTGAAAAACACCCCATTAATGTCCTTGTATCACAAAAGGTACTGCATACAGATAAATTATTACTCCCAATACTAATACGAGTTAAAGGTGAGAGCGGAGGTGTGCACTTTTCGATACAGTCCGGTACCTTTTGTGTTAGGTTTTTAGAGGATGTGGGCGTGAATGGGGGCGTTTTGAACAAACAGGGTAGATCCAGGGCCGTCGAGAGCCCGCTTGGGCCCAGGGGCGATTCACAAAACTGGACCACTTTCAGAAACTTTTCCTGTGGCCACACCTTTCAGTCTTCCTGAGAATTCAGGTTGTGCTTTTGTAGATATGGGCATCAAAAGGCATCTTATCTTGTTTGAATGTAAATAGCCGTGTGACGTAAGAGACTGCTTTTCAATCCCACCTCACGTTAATGCTTATATCTGCCTGGTGTATTTCACCAAAAGGAAACCTACCATAATTATTTCGTAAACCCTTCCTAATTTTGTTTTAAGCTCCAGACAGGCAGGCTACTTTCTTGCTCAACCCTTCCATCGTCCCCTTCCTTCCCCCACTCCCTCCAAGCAAGATTGTTTATTGAGATTTGGTGAAATAGCCGTAAATCGCGTGTGGAAAGATCGTTTATAGTAACACGTTCTCAACAACTTTGCTTGAAGAGGGAGGGAGTTTAAACACAATGGTAGTAGAAGTAAATCAATAAGCTTGTTTTGATCCCATCAATGTGGTCTCAATATATTTGTGAAGGATTGTGAAAATGCAAATTCAGATGATTTAACGATATTTACTTGTCGCTCTACAATGTTCAAAAATGAAACAACTGTGCCACACAACAACCAGCTACAACTACTGCCGAATGTCTTTGGGCATTTAACGTCAAAGCGAACTCTGCCACCCACTCTCCCTCATGGAATCATGTCTATTTACTGTAAAAAGCGAAATAGATTATGGGGTACATTTATGTGATTTGTACGATATTTGTATAGTCTATCAATATTGTTCTAGAGGGGAAAGGGGTGGAACTAGTGGTTTTCGGGGGGAAACAATCTAGAAAAACTAAGCGCAGATTGCTAAGCGTTTCAAGTTATCTTGTGAAGAATTGCCTGAGAAATAGCATTCTGAAAGTTTCTTGATATCCGCAAGGAGAATCAGCTTTATTACCTTTCTTTCTGAGGAATTCCCCCATCTACGTGGTTAGTGTAACTATCTAGTGTAATCATCCCTCCGTCCCCCCCCTCCATCCCCCATCCCCCCATCTAAGTGGTAAGTGGCTATGTTAACTCGTAAGTATAGCAATTGTGCAGGAGATGGGTCATTTCGACCTACACCCTTATTATAAAAAAAGTAACCTCGAGCTGAAAACGAATACAAGTAATATTTTGGCTACCCTGGGTGCCAGAGCCTCAGAAAGTCATAGGATGAAGAAAGGGGGAAGAAATTGCGAAAGAGAATGAAAGAGGAAAGGGGAGAGACCATATGATTTGATCGATGATTTTTTATAATGATTGTAAACAAAGATAGTTAGCCAACCAACGCCGAGTATACTGCGAACAGTATACTGGATGCCGATTGGTTTAGAAGTAGAATTTGAAAGGAGGTTGTTGAACGATGGATCCAGAGCCTTGTCTCTCCCCTTTCCTCTTCAATTCTCCTTCGCATTTCCTTTCCCCTGTTCTTCATTCTTTTGACTCTCTGAAGCTCTGGCACCCAGGGTATACTTTGGCTAGCGCCAATTTAATTCATGACAATTTAATTTAATTCAGAGAATTTGAACTTGTATACAGGGCCTTCTGGATTCTAGTCGCTTGTTCATTGAATGAAATTTTACATTGTGTGAATTAGCAATTCAATGTAATCAGGTGTGGAGAATAGAGAGAAAACAGAGATCGGAGTCCTGTAGAGAGATGTTGATTTTAGGATACAAGTATATAATAATAATGGAAACTTTTCATTTTCAATTCAATTAAAACTACAATTACAAATTTCACTATTACAAAGGTAATTTGCAATTGGCTAGCCTGGGTTTACAAAGAAAAAGATTATTACAAGCACAAACAAAAGAAATTAACAAAAAAAAGGAAAAGTTTGTTCGTCATTGTTTGTTTTAGAAGTCGTCAGTAGCAGAGATCGTTAGAATTGGAGAAGTTCAGGATTATTCTAAGATTTATTTCTGCGGCAGAAAATGTAATAGGTAGTACGGATAGTTAAGTTGGATAGTTTGGAGATCATGAAAAGGAGATGATTCTCGCTGATATCTAGAGCGTTGCATATGTCGATGAAAGAGGAGCAAGAGAGACCAAAGATACCTAGGGAACTGATAGAAAGATTAACAAACATGATAGAAGAATAGGCTGAGCTTAGGCTGTGAATGAGATTCGAGTATTTCTCTTTTTTGCGGTTAGCATTAACATCCAAGTTAGTTTCGTATCCTACTGTAAGCTCGAGTATGAATAGTCGATGGTCAGAAGTGACTAGAAGTAGATCAGGACGGAAAGAGTCTCCTGTTATGATAGAGGGTGAGAGATAACCTGAAAGGTCTGCGTAAAGAGAGCAATTAGGTATAGCTTTTAAAGATTGTGCTAGGAAGTTCAGTGCAGAGTTATGGCGCCATGTGTAACGGCCTTCTTCGAGGTATGTTTTGCAGCCTGCAACAATGTGAAGTAACGTTTCTGGCATATTGCAAAAAGAGCAATCGGACGACTGAGTAATGTTCCATTTAGATAGGTTTTTTCGCGTGGCAAGGGAGTTGCTAAGATATTTGATAGTAAAACTGTAAATGTTCTTGGGCATGTTGCTTTGAACCGTGGTCCATATTTTAGAGGCTATAGGAAGAGAGTGGTCAAAGATGAAGGAAAGAACGGTACCTTGAGATACAAGATGGTTTGAAGGCGCTCTTTATGTTCTGATCTAACAGCCTTCAATACTTTTCTAGTATTCCTGTAAACATCATATTGGATGTTCATGCTCTGGCTGGTATTTTTCCACAAAGATTGGATGTTTTTTGTTGGGAGAGGATTTCAGTGCATTACGACAAACAGTTTGACACTGCATGAATTTAACAGAAGGAAGAATCAAGTTAAGACCGAACTGGTTTTTGACAGAATAATGCCACTTAAAGTAGCACTTATGGGTAGATCGAGCCAACGGCGGATAAATGCAGAAACTTGATTATCAAGGTTTTCGACGATCCAGGTTTTTGATAGATCGGCTACTGTGAGGTGCCACGAAACTTGTGAGAGAAGATAGCTGTTATAAAGAAGCAGCTTATTCTTTGGATGGAGAGGTAAAGAATCAATTTGCGTTAGGAGTTCTGTGAAGATGGAGCTGAGCTTAGACATATGTTCTTGGTTGCTCATATTAAAGTCGAAGTGACGCCCAAGATACTTAAAAGACTCTCCAGTTACGACAGGAGGGACCATTTCATTATTGATGAAGAGCTTTGGCTGATATTGTAGGGAGCGTGTTGAGAATTTTTTAATACCAAAGGTTGTGCATTTGTCTACTCTTATAATCATGTTAGACCATTGACACCATCTTGTAAAGCAGTTTAAGAGTAGCTGGTTTTCTTTCTCCCCGTTTGTAATGACTGCAGCATCGTCTGCAAACTGAAACCAGTGCTCTGGGGTAAACATACAGTCTGGTTGGCTATGGGGAGAGAAACCAAGTTGTTTGAAATTTTCTGCCTTTATGTATTGAATGAAAGTGTTAAAGCACATGTTAAATAGAAGGGGACTGAGGCAATCACCTTGAAGAACTCCACGTTTAACAGGAATAGCAGGGGTAACAAACTTATCTGTGATAATAGAGGTTTTAAAATTTATGTAGAGACTTGAAATCAGGGACTGGATGTTTTCTGGTACGTGGTGATAAGACAGAACAGATTTGATTAGATTGTGATGAACCTCTCCGAAGGCATTTTTTAGGTCCAATAATGTTATGACTAGAGACCGTTGTTTTATTCGAGCTTTGTCTATTATATGGCTCATCATCGCAGTATATCCTAGTGTACCCGATATCTGATGGGTAAAACCTTTTTGAATCTGATGTTCTATGAAACTATTTTGTTTGAGAAAATCAAATACAGAATCTCGGAGGCAAGATGTGAAGATTTTTAGTGGGACCGATTGAAGAGTGATAGGTCTGAAGTTTGAGGGATCCTCTGTATCTCCTTTTTTGTGTATTAATATAGTGCAAGCTTTTTTCCATTCCGATGGGACATGTCCAGATAACCAGATTAAGCGAATCAAATCAGTTAAGAAAGAGCGAAGATAAGGACAGCGTTTGAAGCAAATCACTGATATTTTGTCAATTGGACAAGGAGAGCTAGAGGATTTCATGCGACGGATAATGGAGGTTATCTTTTGGTACGGAGGAGGATCTGAATGAAAAGGATGAGTAGGATTACTGAAGGAAGGAACCCAAGATGGAATGGGAAACTGTTTGTTTGGATGCTTAGCAGAGAGTGTTTCTATAAAGAATTGTTTGCAACGCTCTAGTGAGAACGATGGAAGAAGGGAAGGTTTCTTTTGTAGAAAGCGTTTAACATAACCCCAGAAATTTTTAGAAATAGAAAGATCATGGTCAAGTGTTTCGCAAGAAGTGATAGTAGATGTCTTCTTAGCAAGTTTGCTACGTAAGAGACGGGAGACGTATCGTATTTCGTCTAACGAAGCATGACTATCCTTAAGTAATTTCAGGTCTTTTTTCAAGTTTTTGAGGCTATGATGTTGATACTTTTCGACGAGTCCTGTGTTTGAATTGTTCTCTTGAAACCCATATGTGTCTTTACAATAATTAAGCCTGGTTTCCATATAGCCGTAAGGCTGCCTGCGACTACCTGCGACTGCTTTCTGCCATCTTCCATCTTCCAGCCTTACATTATCGCCGGCAAATGGAAACGTTTTGTTTGCAATTGCCTGCGGTATCGGTAACTATGCCGGTAACTAGGTAAAGTTTGAGCGGGAAAAACTGGCGGGCAAAATTCAACTACAAACATTGCTGCTGCAATAAACGAACGATTATTGCTTCAATATGAATACATATTGCTACTTGCTTACATGAGACACAGAAGAAGACGCAATAAAGTTGAGAGAAAGCACAGGTTTTGGGAGGAACTTTATGGTCTTTGCATTTCTTGTCGTACATGGAACGATAATTTCTTATGCAGTCCATTACTTTTTTATTACTAATTTCTGAGATCTGTTCCGAAGTTTCGACTACGAAAGACGAGGACGACGCCATGTTTCTTTTTAAGGTGTGACAATCAAAAACAATAACAATTTCCAAAGGCCCTATTTCAATTGGTTCTTGCACATCACATGGTTCGTTTGAACAAAAGAATGCCGCCGGCAGCCGCAGGGAAGGCGTTTCCATTTGTAATTTGTCTGCCGGCGGTACCGGGAGGCTGCCGGCGGTACCAGGAGGCTGCCGGCGGTACCGGGAGGCTGCCGTAAGAGCCGGGAAAAGTTGAACTCGTTCAACTTTCTCCCGGCTCTTGCGGCAGTCTTACTTCAAACGGCTGCCTGCGGTACCGTGAGAAAGCGTTTCCATAAAAAATTATCTGCCGGCGATACCGTTGGGATGGAAGATGGAATATGGCAGAAAGCATTCGCAGGCAGCCGCAGGCAGTCTTACGGCTATATGGAAACCAGGCTTTAAAGATGACTTCATTCATGTGGATGATGGCTTCACCAATCGAATCCTGACGGAGAGTGAAATTCGATAAAATTGAATGGAAGAACTGATTCGCAAGTTTCCACTGCTCATCTGTTTTTGGGAGACGTACACCGGGTTTTAAATCAATTATTTCCTCAGGTAACGTATCCTGACCCGTATTTGTGTCTGGCAAATTATCGGCGACCTCTTCAAACAACTCTTCTTTGTCAAAACCGGTGTGATACTAAAATCTGCGTGGCAACCAAATCTGCGTGGGCCCACTCCAAATCTTTTTTTGCGTCTGGATCATCTAATTTGCATAACAGAGGCCGCTCTGCATGCAGCCCATGCGAAAGCTATTTTGGCGCCTGTACCTTGCATAATGTCATAAAATCTTACAACATCTTACAACAGAGGTTCTCTTCAAAAAAGCTCTCGCCCTGGATTAAATTTTTTTTCAATCCCCCAAAGGTTTTTAATCGAGAAAGAAAAGAAAGATACAACATTTTAGTCCAAGATTGATAGCACATACATTCGGCCACAAATTAGTAAAATAAACTAACGAGATAAAATAATTT